GCAACACCTGTCAAAAGGTATACAAGAGCGGTAATGGCTATACTAATCAAGTCCATCACCTCCTGAAGCGTCATCCTGACTACCAAGAGCTAGCTGTAGCTGCCTACCGCAAAGGCAACCGCTTTGGACTCACGCTGCCAGACCAGCGGACTATGACGTGTTCCGCTGGATTGAGTGGTGCGTCATGGACCGCATGCCCGTGAGTTTCTGCGAGCGTCCTCTCGTTCGTAAGAACGCCAAAATGGAGCCGATTTCGGCTGCAACGCTGCAGAAGTACATTCATCTTCTCTATACCTACGTCCGAGACGACATTGCCCTCAAGCTTTCTAAGAAGTTTGGGGTGGTGCTCAGTGGTGGCCGCCACTTCATCGCCATCATGGCGGTTTTTGATGACCCAACGGTCTCGTAACCAAAGGAGCGGAATCCTAACTACGACGACAGCATTCAGTGCCTTACACGCCTTCTGGCATTCTGTTCCTTTGAAGACGAAGAAGATTTAAAACTCAGAGTCTGTTTGACCTCATAGCGGACACGCTGTCCAACAGACCATGGGAATCGGCCCTCTTCATGATTGGTGATAATTGTTCGGTGAACCAGGCGATTGGTCGAAAATTGGGTGCACTGCCTTTTATTGGTTGTGCTAGCCACCGTTTTCAGCTGGCCGCGAACGACGTTTTGGCCACTGAAGATACGCTATTGGCCAAAATTCATGCACTGATGAAACATTTGAGCACGATCAAGTGTCGAGCTGCGTTACGAAAAGTTACGCCGCTGGCGTCTGCCGTGCGCAACGCGACGCGTTGGTTAATCGTGTTCAGCATGGTGAAGCGCTACACTAAGCTACATCCCGCACTTCAATGGACCACGCGACAATCTCCGAGCTTGGTCGGCAATATCAGCTCCTGTCTAAGCAGGAAATCCTGGGCCGCACGGTATTTCGCTTCCAGCTTACTCACTTTACCACGGACTTGTCCCGGCGTCCTGTGCGAGATGTTGGCGGTCTCAAGTGCCGCCGTGATCTCTTTCACTAAGGACTCCTTAGTGTTGCCACTGGTTCTATCTGCGCCCCGCCAGCGATTGTAGTGTGTCTTCACCGTCGTCCCGGCCATCAGCACGTCGAGAGAGGACTTTCCTTCGTCTACGCTTTCCTTGTCCCAGTACACGTTGGACTTCTTTCCGCTGTTCTTCGTAGTTGCCATGGTGGCTCGACGTGACGCAGACTCGGTTTAATGATGTATGCCACACTCTCTGCATTGCATATCCTCTTCTGAAAGGAAAAAGCTCCCCCAAGTTCGTCTGAAGTGCAGACGAATATAAGCCAATCAGTGAAGAGAGAGGTCGATTTTTTCTTCTGAATTCGACGTCTGTCTGCAAGTCTGCCTACCACTATTGACGCTAGTAGGGGTACGACGCGCTTTTGACTGGGTCTCACGCCAAAATCCGGGCAATGAAAGGAAGGTTGGCGTCTGATTCTGCGGTTGTTACTTACCCAGCGTTGGAGATTGACATCACCAAGATCATTGCTGAAGGCCATCTGACTACGCGCGAGCAATGGCCTGCAAAGGGTTTAAGGCCTCATCTGCTGCACAACCAACTGAAGAGACGACACGCTCGTTTTTGGGGGTCGTCTTTCAGAAAGCGACCCCAGCGCGTACTACGTACATGTCTGTGTCGTCGATACCTCCTACGTCTAATGAGTGCGAGAGATTTTTCTCTCAGGCGAAGCTGGTGTACACGGAAATGCGTAAAAGCATGGATGTTAACACGCTGGGAGTGTTGGTGTTCCTTTCCTACAATAGAGATGCGTGGGATGTAGGTAGCGTTCAAGCGATTCGGCGCAAAATGCACAACTAGAGACTGCATAATTGAATGATTATGTCATTGCTTTGTGAGGACTAAATACATTTGACATTGCATATTGGGGAGCCCTGCTGTCAGAACTACACAACGATCAAACTTTACCTCGGGGTGCCCAGCCCACTACTGCTACTAGCCTACTGATCAACAATCACGTACTTCTGGTAAACAAAAACCGCCGATGACGGATAATGCTTCTTAGGCAGACTTGGTGAGAAAGAGGTAGGTATACAGAAGCGAACAGCAAAGGAAAAGGGTTTTGTCGTAAGTATTATTTCCTTCGGTATCTGGCAGCGAGATTGTGTCATGAGGCGTTCAATCGCTGAACATTTCAAGTCGCTCCTACTGGTCGGATACACGGTGTAGTGGACGAATCGCAGATGAATTTGTGTCAATTTCTGCGTTCTCGACACCTCCCAAAAAAAACGTAGTTCGAGCGTTTTAACGATAGCAGTTATGGAGATTACCCGTGCCTGGAACATAAGAACACGGCCTTAAACATTTAAAGTTTGACATGGACAAAGTTATAGGGTATCGGACGAATTGGCTTACTGGTTTCGAGAGTCTTCAAGATTTCTTCTGAGGACTGCGTCCCTGCAATTCGTCAGCTAAATGGCGTATTTGTATCACGTGTGTGAAATGGCGGCTCCTAACCATGCGCTCAAGAGTGGATTCGTTGATGGTTTGGTTCAAGAGAAGGAAGCAGGGGTAGCCAATCGTGTGATACTCAGAATTCATCCCGTAGAGTTGTTGTTGTTGTTGTTTTGGAAAAACGCAGGAAATTGACTTCTGTTTAAGGGGGATAGCTTTGA